CCCCCCCCCCCCCCCCCCCAATGCCCTTACTCATAATCCCGACCACAAACAAAATAAACTGTGTTTCACCCGTTTAAAATACTAGATCGTAATGAGTGTATGGCTTTATATAAACATGGGTAAAGTTCCATTCAAGACCGTTTCAAGACTAAAGATCTTTTCAATAAAAAAATGAATAAAAATCCGCGTGAAAGTAAAAGCGAGACTGTCCGCGTGAGAAGGGATAAAGGTATGTCACGCTTCGCACGTTCCAGAGTTTGGCAGGAGGTATTTTGCCTTGAGGCCACCTTGAAAATCGTCTCGGAGAAAATAATAATAATAAGAAGAAAAACGAATTGATCCAAATAAATGTGATATTTATACTTTGAATATAATGATTGACATTGATTTTCACAGAAAAAAATGAGGCCTTATACAAAGTCCGTACATTCGGGTTCCGTCCGCTAACTAGTATTAACTTTCAGTTTATTATCAAAGAACATCGCGGCTTCTTTTGTATCTTACCGTGAACTACACAGAAGAAAGGAAACAAAAACATGTTATCTGACACGAAGAAAAGTTGTAGCTAGTAAAAGCACTGATTTACCTTGAGTCTACTCCTTACCAAATAACAATTACACCATACCCGGAAAATTTATGTGACATGACCAGAGGGAGCGAATATACTTTGCCTAAATGTTGCAGTTTCCGTTAAATTAGACGTCCGGATCCTTGGGTAAAGAGAAGAAATTAGGGAAAGAATGACTAAGTTCTGCCATTACCATGTCAATAAGGAAAACTTATGACCATAGCAACGAGTAGCGCGCTTGGCCATTTTTATTTTCTTCCTATGTTTACCAGTTCGTATTACAAAATAAGCTGTTTCGGCTGACTCGAATTGTCGCCGATTTTTTTTTTTTTTTTTTTTGACCTGTAAAAGTTACTTCCGCGAGTGATTGCTTGCTCAGCCGTTTCGGATACTAGAAAGATCGACTGTAAATTATGCGGAGTGAACATATATATTAATTACTTACAGTGTGTAATGTTGATCTTGACTCAGCTGTTTATATGAAACAAGGGTAATTGCTTCTTGACAGATTCTTAACTGTTCGTTAAAACGAGTTTTTAGGAATTATCTCGAAATCCAAGAAAAACCCAACAGGAGTCTTTCAGGGCCGCGATCGAGCAGGAAAAACATGATAATTTAAATCGAGGTGTGTCATTCAATTTTAATTTAAATTGTTGCCATAACAACTGAAACAAAAAGAAGTTGACCTTCTCACGAAATCGTGATCACTGACAAGGTTTAGAGTATGAACCATATCACGCTTACTTTTTTCTAGCCTAAAGAACTACTTGAGTACACAAGGATTCTTCATTGAAGAACAGCAGACCAGCAATTTTACGTGGATTGGTGGGTTTTGTGAGTGTCATATGACAGATTGAGTTCTTTCTTGACTCACACAACAGAATGTCGCTCAAAGTGACTGTTCACAGCGCCTCAAATCTACCTAATGTTGACTTCAGAGGACTGAGCGATCCTTTTGTGGTTTTAAGTTTTCGAGGTAAGTTATGAAAAGACTTGGTTTTAGTCAATAACGGGGTGTTCCATTTTGCCAAAATCCCAGGAAATTTTCGGTTTAAATTCTAATGAGAAGATTTAATTCGATCGCTGCTTTCCGGGAACAATGAACTTATTTAGGAAGCACACTTTCGGACCTGTTGGTTCAAAGTTTGCTGTTTTGTTTTAAAAACTGAGTCGGTCTGTTGCCCTTCTTCTCTTCAGTAGAATTTTTCAAATTGTCAGTTGTTAGAGGAATTTCTAATCGGGAGGAGTTACACATTGGTTGGCCAGCTGTCATCGGTAAATATCATTCTGTTTTTATGGCTTGCCCACTGCCGGGGCAGTCCTGACCGATGGAAAGTATCCTAAATTCTTGATATAAACCGTTTTTAATCACCTTCCAGCCCGCGTAATTTTTTGATCAGTTGAAGGTTCCTTATTGAACTTAAACTTCAACTGATAAAAGTGATAAGATCGATATCAATATCGCTAACAAGTTGGCCAGGGCTCCTTGGTTAACAAGAGGTCGAGATAACAGATCAAAAATATCACAAGTATTTTTTTTTTTTCCGAACTTACGAATTTATTTACATCCGCGAATGTCACTCTTTTAATAACACATTTTTAAAAAGTTGTCATGTAGTACTGACGTTGCAAAACAAATGTAACCGTTGGACAGGTGAATACATACATGTATGTGTTTCGAGCTAAGAAAACCTCCTTCCGATGACACAAAAAAGCAGTTGATTATGACAAAAGACTACAAATCATTATTAAGTCGGTTCAGGAAATTTGTAAGATGACACAAGAAGAAAGTCTCTTCGAACCTTTGAACGCCTAGGCGTCTTTCTGTTAAATTGAATTCTGATGGAAATTACCAGAACGGTGACGATTCATTCTCGTTTCCTTGGGGAAGTTTCGACAATACAAATATTTATATGTTTTTAGCATATGTTGTGTGATACACAAGCCAAATGGTTTGCGTTCTCTTCTGATCAGCATTCGTGATTTGCTATATTTTTTGATCACTGCTCACAATTACATTGAATTCATTTATATTTATATTGATAATATTAACTCACACATTCCCGAGTATACACAAAAGCGTTTTCTAACACTGCGAAGTTTTACAGAGGTTTTGGCCTCGTCCACATAATGCCGCAGAAATTTGAAAACGCAGCTTTATTTGTACAGTCCACACTAATCCGTCACGAAAACGGACCTTTTCGAAAGAATTTGAAAACGCCGGCTTTTTCGTTTTATTGGGAACGGAAAACATTTTGAAAAGGAAGCTTTCTAAAACAAGGGGCGCGTTCCATTCGACCAAAATTTCCGAAAATTCCGGTTCAAAATCAAATGGAACAGAAAATCTCCGGAAAATTATTTCGAAAATTTCGGTCAACTTCTTGAGGTTGTCCTTTTTTCCGGAAATTTGTGAATTCCGGAAATTTTCTGGTCCATTTGACATTTCTACTCGGAATGAATTGGCCCCAGTTCCTCTGGTCGTACCTGAAAGCTACAAGATGGCGGCTAGTCGATACTACACTGGATGCAAAACGATCTGCCACGGTTCCAGCCTTTTATTGATGGCCTATCCTCCACAGAAACCTTAGGATCTGCTTCTCTGGAAAATTGTGGACTGGTCGTTCCGAATTTCCTGTGGGCACTTGCCCGGTTTGCATAATCTCCCGCAAGAAAAGTTCGCAAGTTTATTATCTCACGAAAATAATTCTTAAGTCGGTCAGGTAAATATCTCAGAAGAGCGAGTTTACTTAACCGTAAAATAGTCGTAAATTCGTGTTAAATTTCTTCGCATCAAGCAGCTTACTGCACTTGTACAACAGCCACGTCATCATTATTCTTCAGCATTTTGTCGAGTAAATAATGGCGGGAAATGTTGCTAAGCGGGAATAGAGCGAGATCGGTCCGGTCTGGTGGCAAATACCGTTCCATTCGGCATACGAAAATTTCGGTAATTCAAATCGGAACTTTTGGTCGAATGGAACGCGCTCAAGGATGCCACGATAATCATGTAATTTCTCCCTCAGATTTTTTCTCAAACAAAATTCCCAAATGACAGCTGCTCAGTGTTGCGTTTTCAAATTTATCCGGCGTAGTGTGGACGGAAAAATGATGCATTTTCAGAGTGAAAACGCTATTTTCCAATTTTCCCGGCGGAGTGTGGACGGGGCCTCAAGAAATTTATGAGGAAGCTGGCACGAGCAAAAATGAAATGCAAATCACTAATGACGCCAAATGAAGGAGAGGATCCTTAGGCCTTTTGTTGTGTTCTATGCCAGATTTAAATTTTACTGGAGAAATGAAAAGCTTAAAGCTGTTTTCTTGTTACCAATAGGTCGTAAGAAGAACACTTCAGTTCAAAAGAACACGCTAAATCCCAAGTGGGAGGCAAAGGATGTAAGTATCCCTGAACTGAATTACAGTGAGAATTACAATTAGATTTTGGTTTGATTCGCAGAAGTGGAAGCGATGCAAAGGTCGTCAAACTGTCAAACTTGGATAACACTTAATATACCTATATTTCCAAAGAGTTGCATCATCTATAGGTGTTGTAATAACTTTGAATCGAGTTTAATATGCAGTTCTGAGATTATATATGTGCGATGTTTGGAGCGCCGGTACAGTGTTGTGAGAAAATAGCTGCAATTTTAATGACGCGGCACATGATGACAAAGGTAAAGGTTAAGATCGAGTACTGTTAATAAGGGTTAAAGGATCAACTGCAGAAAAAACCGGTAAATCTGGCTGCTTCAATAAATCTACGGGATAATAGTAAGACCGGGAATAGAATGTAGTACATCGTGAAATTAGCAGTGTGGAAATGCATAGTTAAGGGAAATGCAAGGGGTAATTAGGCGAAATATAATCCTTTATAGCACTCTGAGGTGGTGTATAAATTAGCATAGCGTTCACGATATTACAGCACAACCAAAAATGCAACATTAAATTAAAGGATATAAGTGGCAATCAGAATACGTTTTTTGTACCACAGGCCACGTGTGAATGGAGTCTTGGAGCTGTTCAACTTCAACAAGACGAGAAGTTGTCAATCAAAGTTAAAGACAATGAGCCAGCGTGGTTCAAAAAGTAAGGAAAGATTAGTTTTTTTCTTGTACAAATCGGAAGCGTAAATGCTTCTTTTTCAAATTGTCCCATGGCTGCTGATTTTTTTTTAATACGTCTAGGTGCATGCTTGAAAATTAGCTGTTGTGTCAGCAAGAGGCACCGAAAACTCACCAGCTAAGCACATGTTAAAAAAAGTCAGTTCCATGTCTTGTGGGCGAGCAAGAGTTGGTGCCAAATTTAAAGTCAAGGGGCTCAAGATCTTTTTGTGAATAACGATGTGGTCTCTAGTACGAAAAGTGGTCCTTCATAAATACCTTTCCTTTGAACAAACAAGTGACGTCAACACAGCACAGTTTCTTCTACCAGCTGCTGAATGCTGATTGGTAAATTCAAATTTCAAAACCACGGCGTATGCATGGACAGGGGGAAAAGTTTTAATATTGTCAATGTTCACGCTACATGAGCAATAGCTGCGAGTTCGCCTTTCAATGGCGTGTGTTCTCTTTTTTCAGTGCCACTTAAGATTTTTGTTGATGTTAAGCTATGACTGTTGACAGAGAACTTTCTGTAATTTGACAGGCTTCTTGGGCAAGTCGAAATTCCTCTACATGATCTACGTAAAAACGGCAAGGAAATTAAGAAACAATATTACGAACTGGAAGATGGCAAACACCGCCCAACCATCGTAAGTTTTGGTTTGTTTGATTTGTAACTTAGGTATTAGTCTGTTAGTGTTGCACTGTTTAGGCCCCTTGCTTATTTTTCTCACTACTACTGAATCAGGTCTGAAGTACGGGCGAGGGTTTTTAGACCAGAAGGCCCGGGTTATCTTTCCCGTCTTGACCCCTTCTTGTAAGTACCGCCCTTTTCGCGTTACGGAGTTCGCGAGGTGAAAAAGTCATGGAACCCTGAGAGAAAAGATCAATTGCAAGCGGGCTATGTTATTTGCCGATCTATTCCGCTCTGTTCTTGATCTGTTCTGTTCTGTTCTTAACCTTCACCCTTTCCCTCATCACAGGGAACAGTTTGCCTGGATATAGAATACGTTCCCCCTGGTGGTAGGGACGGAAAAAATGAAGATCAAATAGATGGTGACGAAACCGATGGAGATGAAGATCATGATGACGATGAGAGTCAGGATGACGAGGACGAGCATGATCATAACAGGGGCGAAGAAAAACGCAGCAAAAAAGTGAAGAAGAGAACACCCCGCAGACGCATCGCTAGAAAGTGGAGTGACAAAATAAAGGACTTTCAGGTGATGTGAAACTAAATTTTGGTATTAAGTTAAAATAAAGAGAATGGAGTTTTGCTCGAGTTGGTTTACTTTTTGAACTTCTGTTACATGTTGTTCTTTCATGATTTTTAACATCTAGGAATAACTTAGAAGAGAAGAAAAATTTTCATATTTACCAATCATGGCTTTTTCACTTGTTTTTGTCTGCATCAGCTAGTATCTAGCTTCCCTGTACTTCTTTTCCTGGCTTTCTAAATACCATTAAACCCGGACCAGATTAACGTACCAGAAGGTTATGAAGTAGATAGAAAGATTGAGCGAGACAATAAATAGCTAAAGAGTGGGGAAGAAATGTGATAGCATATCACTGGTACAGTGTCCATGTTCTACCTCCTTATAAGTCAAAGGTAAACACCTAGCGGTTATTGAACAACCGAGCGGTTTCCATTTTACTGTCGAAATGTAATTGGTTTTACACTTACTACGCAACAGGATTGGCTTAAAAAACTCGCGTCAATTTTTCATCCAATCATAAGTAAAACAAACCCAGTTATGACTCGTTCGGATACACTCGTTTGCCCGCGCTTCGCGTCAGCTAAGTGTGATTATTTGAAGATTTGGCTGGTTCACTGCATTGTCTGTGTCCTTGGTGATTGGCTAGAGTGATTACTTTGGGTTTGTTTTTACGACATCCAATTGAAAACCGCTCTATCAACTCCCCACGACAACTGTCTAAAATTTATAGAAGCAATACTCTAAACTGCTTCATTGTATGGGAAATGCTATCAGCTCCATCATACAATGTTACCAATATTGATTTAATTTCAAAAGACTAACAAGCTAACATATGATCCTTTGGCATTTTAAGATTCGAATCCATATCTTTGAAGGACGGCATTTGCCAGGCACCAATATTCACCCCATGGTGAGAGTAACAGTAGCTGGACAGCAGAAGCAAACAAGCACCAAACAATCTACAAACAATCCAATCTATAATGACGAGGTTGGTGAACAGGTCATTCGCAATTAATAACACTGACAACACTCCTATTGCAGATAACCGTTTAAGTCATGAGTCTTGACTCATGGTCCGTGGAGTAATTTTGCAATACAGAATGTAACTACATGTACTGCCTTGTGCCGTACATCCCCGATGGAGTTGCTGAATGTTGTACTCGCAAGGGAGCCAGCTGCTAACCATTAAGCTTCGCACAACCCTATTTCCCGTTTCACTGACAAAATCCAACGACAGGTAAACAACGAGTCTAGTAATGCTAAGACGGCCTTTTCCTCCGTTCAGCTGTTCACTACAGAGCGCGAAGGCCGTACTGGGAGGATATCACCTAAGAACTCTTTACTTTTTTCAAATGTAACGCTCAGTAATGAACAATTCATTTCCTCAGTCTTTGCCCAAACAGGCGCGTATTAATATCGGACATAATACCCGTCGGCATTAGGGAAGATGCCATCCCTCCCATTAGTCAATCACAACATGCAGGCTTTCTCTAGATACTATTATGGTATGGGATATGATAGGGTGGATTTATTCAGCCTTTTTTTTTCCATTCACCTTGCAGATGCTGTCCTTCAATTTTCGCAAATCTGAGGCGGAGTTGTTTGATGAACTCATTACTCTCGAGGCAAGAAACAATATTCTATTAAATTGGCATAAATTGTAAGGAAATGCCCATCCGTTTAATGCCATTTTAAACACGTTCTCAATATTGTTTTTTTACAGGTTTTTAACGCTAGAGGACTTTTTCGATCCAATGCATTATTAGGCTTTTTTAAGGTATGGCTCTTAAATAGTTTCTAAATCTCGGGTTCAGGAGCTTATTGCCAAAAACGTGGTTTCAGAGAAGAGTTCCAAGAAAACAAAATTCTTTTTTTTCTTTCAGTTTGACGTTGGTTTCGTCCACGAAAGAAAAGGTAAGAAGAATGATTTTTCGTTTCTTTCCACAACTTGATATTTATTTCTCGTAAAAAAATCTGTATCTTTTCAAGTTGTAAAGCTATAAAGTTAACGTTCTCTTAAATTTTGACTTTTTAGGCCATTCGTTTATTCGTAAGTGGATTATGTTGTCGAAACCAGTTGGAAAGCAACAAAAAGTAAGCAACACAAAGGGCGATAGTTTAATAGTATCCACTGAGACTATACTTGTGCTGTGAGGTCAATTTTACGCTTTCCGTTTGCTTGACCTGCACTGTTAGGAACGTTAATTATTCAGTATTTGCAGGCTTCATAAGCTTCTTGGGGCCTACTTGCCACTGATTTACTTTCGAAGTTAAAGCTGTTCTACACTTGTGTTGTAATCTTTGATCTTAAGGGCTATTATATAACTATTAATTTCAGGAAAGTGTCAATCTGGGTACCAAAAACTCTCCGGGAGTAAGTGCTGTTTGAATGTTTTTTTTTGTTTGATTTCACATTAACCTAAGAGTATTGCTAGTTATGTTTGTGATCAAATCGTTTTGTTTGCAGGGTTATCTTAAAGTTACAGCAGTTGTTCAGGGGTCTGGGGACAAACTACCGGTATGTACCAGTTAAGGAAAGGAAACCGGAAGTACGTGTACAAATAGTAGTCACGTTTTAATGCGAGTTAAAGTTTAATCGTCTCTTATGAAAGCTGTAAGGACCATACCACTTCACANAATTTTGACTTTTTAGGCCATTCGTTTATTCGTAAGTGGATTATGTTGTCGAAACCAGTTGGAAAGCAACAAAAAGTAAGCAACACAAAGGGCGATAGTTTAATAGTATCCACTGAGACTGTACTTGTGCTGTGACGGTCAATTTTACGCTTTCCGTTTGCTTGACCTACAGTGTTAGGAACGTTAATTATTCAGTATTTGCAGGCTTCATAAGCCCCTTGGAGCCTACTTGCCACTGATTTATTTTCGAAGTTAAAGCTGTTCGTACACTTGTGTTGTAATCTTTGATCTTAAGGGCTATTATATAACTATTAATTTCAGGAAAGTGTGAATCTGGGTACCAAAAACTCTCCGGGAGTAAGTGCTGTTTGAATGTTTTTTTGTTTGATTTCACATTAACCTAAGAGTATTGCTAGTTATGTTTGTGATGAAATCGTTTTGTTTGCAGGGTTATCTTAAAGTTACAGCAGTTGTTCAGGGGTCTGGGGACAAACTACCGGTATGTACCAGTTAAGGAAAGGAAACCGGAAGTACGTGTACAAATAGTAGTCACGTTTTAATGCGAGTTAAAGTTTAATCGTCTCTTATGAAAGCTGTAAGGACCATACCACTTCACAACGCACCTTCTTGTAGTAATTCACCACTTGAATAGTTGATTTTGCCGACGTTCTCTACGTTTCTGGACTTTGTGACAGCCAGTAGGAAAACCTCATCTATTTTAGTTTTCTAGTTTTGACTGCGTCGCTTCGTAACAGTGTAGGATTGGTTATGGGTGTAGGATTGGTTATGGATGAATAACCCTTCAAAGGCCAGCCTGAAACATATGTGAAAAGCAAAGAACTGAACCACATTTATATTTTTTCACGTTAACTCAGGTTGGAATAGATGTTCCAAGTGTCGACGATAAAGATGAAGACATTGAAGCGTACGTTTAATTTAGAGGATTGTTTCAAAAGTTCACCGAATTTGATGCCGTAAAATAAATGCGTCTATATTCTTTAGCAAAATAAGCTCATCAACTCTTTTACAGTGTGTGTCACATGAGGGATCTCGAAGATCTTGATGCTCGATCCTGGGGTCTAATGCTCATAAGAGCAATCTAGTCTTCAATTTTTTTTGTGGGCGAACTGTATTTGACGAAAATAATGTATGGGACAGTTCGTATTATTAAAAGGTGAAGCCTGAGGCAAACGTAGGGGTTCTCAAAATAAGCCAGGTGAACTAGAGATTCCTGTGGCTTTAAATGCCTGTCATTTCCAGAGGTGATAATTAAAATCAAAGTAATATATAATGTTCTACCTTTTTTAGGAATTGCCTAACTCCAGTCGGCGTGCATCGACAATCAGCTGTGTTTGTTTTAAAAGTTTACCAAGCGAAAGATCTTCCACAAAGTAAGACTTTGTTGTTGTTGTTGCTGTTGTTGTTGTTGTTGTTGTTGTTGTTGTTGTTGTGGATGTGGATGCTGCGCCTACATTCGATGTTAACGTTAACATACTAGCTATGTTTTAAATAATAACATGATTTATTTTTTAATGATTTAATTATTAGTGGACGCTGGAGTTATGACGAAGTTCAAGAAGATTTTCGCTGGACTGCCCTTGTTGTCTAAACGAGCCGAAGAGGTACATTAATTTTTTCGGACATCAACACTCTTGTCGTTAATCTTCGTTGCTTTATGTGTTACTACCATCTTCCTGTTGATTATAGTAATCTAAACGTGCTAAGTCGAAGCAATCTTCATGGCTAAGCTGTATCTTATCTTTTAGTCTATAGAGGATTTTCATAAGCCATAGACTCTGATAAAATCAGCTTCTTTTCTTTTCAAAGATCCCTCAAGCTAAAGAGGACCTTGAAGAGGAGCAAAATCTTGTGGATCCATATCTTATTTTTAGCTTTAGTGGCAATCAGGTAGGGAATAAGCAGACGCTGTCCCTCCTTCTCGATTAATGCATGACATTTTATGCTCCCTGTATTTTCTTGAAGGCTTGGCTATAAAAGGTGAAGATGGAGGGTCTGTCATAAAAGTCGTCGTTGTTTTACATATACTTTACATGCAGCTTTTTTCGATCAGAATTATTAATTAATTTCTCAAGGCTGTTAATAGTTACAAAACTTTCCGCAGGACTTGTTTGATAATCTGTTCTTAATTGTTCAGGCCTGATACATTGGAGAGATTGGATAACATAGAGTCTCATTTGTTTCTAAATGTTGTTGAGGACGCACGGCACAGAAATACAAAGGCAAACATTAAATCAACCTGTCTTTTTCTAAAAATTAATATTCTTTACTAGTGTTTTTCTTAGGTATAGTATGTAGTAGTTGTCAATGGTATCGTACAAACAGAAAACTTACAAGGTGATGAATACAAAGAGCGGGTACAAATCATGCATTGAGCAACTGTACAATGGAGTGAACTTTTTATGGATGCTTATAATAAGTATATTAGGCTGCGTAGCTTTGGGGGTGGCAAAAACTTCTTTGTGTCTTTCCGACTTCAGGTGTCCACCGATATAGAATACAAGAACAGCAATCCAAAGTTCAGACAAGTCTTAAAGATACCTTTTGTGGTTAGTCTCATTAACAAGCGCTAATATTGAATCTGCCTTAAGGTTTTGTTTTGGTTTATTTTATTTTCTTTTGTTTTTTGCTTGTTTTTTTGGCTGTTGTTGTGTTTGTTGTTTTTAATCCCCTGAATTTTTCCTACGAGTTATTAGTACGTGGAAAGAGTTAAGATTTTCTCTTTCGGGTCAGGCGACAGAGTAAGTTCAAGATCGTACTTTTTTTTCCCGTATGCTCGGTCTCAAAAGCAGAAAGTTATAAAACGTAAATCGTGTATACATCCGTCTGTAATAAGTCAATAACTTTACTCCAAATTGTTGTAGAACAATGACTTAAGCTATCATAGGTAAACAGGTCATTTTATTTCGCTAGTTAACGGAAATGCTTTTTTTTTTTTTTTTCTAGTTCCCTTCAATGTGCGAGAGATTGAAATTACAATTGAAGGACTGGTAAATAAATTAGGCATCATGCATATATTGCATTAAGTCTGAGAAAGATTGCTGAAATTGTTTTAAAAAAGGTTATAGGAACTTACTCTTCTCCACATGGTGTATATCCTTGCTGAATCCAATTAGTAGCAACACCATCAAGATTTTTGCAGCTTGATTTATATTCCACGTGACTTAAATACGATATACACATGCGTCTTGTCATTTAGAACACAAGGTGGTATGTAGATACTTTAATTGTTGTCAATACACTTAGAAGCCTGTTTTATTCAAACAAAATTGCAATTTTCATTTGTCTGTAATCGCTTTTATATATGGTTGATTAGCAAGACACTATGTCGAGATCAATTTGTCGTTCCCTAGGGACCAAGGCAAGAAAAACGACTTTATAGGCACAGCGTACTTGCACCTCTCGGCCATTTCTGGACAAGGAGGACTGGGAGAAGGTAAACAACACAGTAGTTGTCCTTTATCATGTTCATGTTCGTTTAAAAAAGCGCGATTACTCGATAGTAGTCCGAACATTTTAACGATAGCAATGTTTCTTAGACATTGTTATGAGCTGCACTGTATACCTTTTGGTTCTACTCTCTCATTATGTGCATTCTTTCTAAAATTCCTTCAAAGCGGAAAAGGGGTTGACAGTTGAAGGTTTCATGAAATATGAATAAATTTTTGACGAGAATAATGAAGGAGATATTAGATTTGAAGCAAAAAGCAAAAAGGAAAAGAGTTAAATAGATTTAAATGAAACGTTTAGTTAATAATCGATAGACAACAAAATAGATTAGCTCCACCTGAAGTCCTCTGGAGCTGTTGAGTCTATTTGCTTCTTTGGATTAATTAATCCTTTTTTTATTTCTCTTAAACTTTCGTTTAAACTCATAAAAATTCAGACTCCCCCTCTCCCCTCTCGCTCTAGGGTTATATTTCTCTCGGTTGTTTACGTCTAGTAGTTCTCATATAAACCTTTGAATTTACTCTTGCTTCGTAGGATTCTTGCCTCAGTTTGGACCGTGTTACATCAATTTCTACGGCTCTCCGAGAGAATATCAGAAAACGACTGACAAATATGAGCACCTCAACAAAGGAATTGTGAGTAAATTTAATAGGAAAATATTACTTTACCCAAATGTCACATGTTATTGCTTTCTTCTCGGCTAAGTATTTCACCTGCCAGCCGGCCAGCCGACCAGCCCGACAGTTTCTTTAGAAACCAATACTCAAAGCAAATGTGGATTACTTTCCTACACAAAGTGAATTCCCACTACATATGGTCAGTGTAAAACGCAGACTGAGGATTGCAGACTGCAGACTGCAGACTGAATATCAAGGATAAAATGCAGACTGAGGGTTAAATGCAGACTACAGACTCCCGTTAGCCTGTTTACAGCTCTCAATGATGGAAATGGTAACGCGATTCAGTTAAATAGTCTACAGTCTGCAATCTGCATTTCAGTTTACCCTTTGGTCTGTAGACTGCGTTTTACCCTCAGTCTGCATCAGTACCCCTGGTCTGCAGTCTGCATTTTACTCTCACTCTGCATTTTAAGCCTGGTCTGATCCTATATATACCTAGCAGTCTCCAAGTGTGATTTAATTCATATTTCCTCGCATTAGTGATGTTTTTCTTTGCAGGGAGAGGGTGTTGCTTATCGCGGACGTCTTCTCGTCGAATTGAGGACCGTTCCAACTCATGGCACAGCTCGCCCTACTCGACACGCAATGGCTAAACAAGATGAAATAAATGTTGAGGTACGTAATGACATCCCAAAGCGTTTTACTCGCGTGAACCGATCGAAGATAACTAAGTGCATTTGGGTAATTTAATGCAAAATGGGAGTTTTAAAAGATGTGGTGCCGCACATTTGATATTTCTTGATTATTTTTCTGTGTTTTGTGCGTCGGTCTTTTAAGTTTTTCATATAAAGGGGATCTATATTTCTTTGCGTGTATTCTGAATAACTGACATAGAAAACATGTACGTTACTTCGTGATCTTTGTACTAGGATAAAACTATGAGCGTTATTTCGATAATCGTTATAAATGGCCGTTTTTATACTAAAGACGCATCCTTCTGGACGAACTTGGGCAAAAATTTGTAGTTCGTCTGGTTGTGCGTCTCTAGTATAAAGACGGACACAAGACATATTATGCGTCTAGACAAACTATACTTCGAAATTCGTCTTGAACGACGAACTAGGAGAGATAGTTCGTCTAGACGCATAATACGTCTTGTACCCGTCTTTATACCAGAGACGCATAACCAGACGAACTACAAATGTTTGACCCAGTTCGACCAGACGGATAATGAGTCTTCAGTATAAAAACGGCGAGGACGCATTATCCTTCTGGACGGATACTGCGTCCTCTAGTATAAAAACGGCCAATTTCTTGAAGATACTACTCGATCAAATTCAAATACAGGCTTCCCGTATTGCTTCTTGCTCTAAGGCTGCTACGATCTATCCTCCATCCTTTGTAATTTCGGCCTGTGAGCTAGAGATTAGCAGAAAAATGTTTGAAATGACATTTGACAAAGATAATATGGGAGGCGGCGTGGTCGAATGGTTTAGGGCGCTGATTTGAAATCTGGAGGTCCCTTGTTCAAATCCTCCACCCCACCGCTATCTGGATTTTTTTTCGGTGGTCCCAAGTTCAACTCCTCGACCGCGTTGTGTAAATAGCCAGCTGGTCAGCCTCCCACCAGTTGGGATTCTTAATAGTTTATGTTCCATTTGCAATATCTGTTTATATATTTGCAGTGTCTCCGATTACCACAACAGTGCTAAATACATTTGACAATTAAATAAAGTTATTTATCTATTTATTTCTTATTAATAGGTTTTAAGCTTTCTCGTCTCTCTTTTAGCCGTTTAAAAAATGTTCCAAGTTTACACTGTTCGCGTGTTTCCACGAGGCCACTATGATCGCAGTGACTGATGGATCGGTGGAGTTCGAAATCAGTATGGGTAAGTGGTTCTTGAATAAAGACAAACGAAATAATCGATTACCAGTTACGTATACATGTTATGTACACTGCGGCATTCTGCTAGGGTGAGAGGCGCCGTGACATAGATTGTTGGATTGTAGATTGAGCTTTCGGGGGTACGAACCCTGGTACATCTATTAAAAGATTAGCACTGCTGTACTAACTGGGGACAATGAAGTAAGCAAACCATGATATTTACTTTGACATTGTATGATAAGTGCTTTCAGAAGATCTAAGACCCGATTACTCTAACACCCTTGTGTGCCACTGAGCACCTATGAAAATAATGTAGAGGGAGGGGTGGGGTAACCATACGATGAACTAACATTTCACCGAAGGGAAGAAGAAATGCTCCTAGCCTACTCACAGCCTCAGCCCGAAATAAACTCTGCCTGCTTGCCTGTCTGTTTGTCTATCTTTCTAAATAATTTTTCTTAATTTCGATTTTCATATATACCAACACTGAAACTATTTTAATGACTTTCAGGCAACAAAGGAACAAGGTTTGATGAATCCGTTGCGCCTTCGAATACCACTCCATGTAAACCAGTGTACGATCATTCGCACTATCACTACTTACCCTGGGGTGGAGAAAAACCGTGTGTCTGGATCGAGTGCTCATGGGAAGACATATCCTTTAGAATAGAACCACTCAACATCTTGACCAACATGTGGAAGAAGCTGGTAAGCAGTGAACACAAACCAATTATCTTTGATTTAGTTTACTTCGGTTGAATAAGACTTATATTCATTGATCATTGTACAGATTAAATATGAACGCGAGAGGCACTATGGCCTACGCAGTATCTAGTTACTGACATTGGAGAGCTTTCTTTGTAACTTGTAACTAATGTGGTTGTGGCATTGAAGAGGTTATTGAAGAAATGGCGTAGAAGAAATCTTGGAACAATAATAACTATCGGGCTTTGGAAATAGGCTGCTAGTGACGTACCTTACGATCCAGTAATTTCCGCTCAAATCTCTTTACTTTTTCAAACTTTTAAATCACTATGAAATATCATACTTTAAACCATGGCAAAATTGTTAACCTGGGCAATTTTGAGACCAGTAATGTTTTAGTCGGGAGTACATTGGAGAGTTTTTCACCAATGAAATACATAACTATGGACTGGAACATATTGTAAAATTAGTCACGACCAAATTTTTACCGCTTCTCTACAGGAAGTCGATCTAGAGGAATTACAGAAGGGAGAAAAGAAAATGCAATCAGTCCTGGAAGTGTTTAGTGAAGCGTGCGGGTAATAACTGTTGACATGAACACTTGTCTGCTTAGTTCCCTTATGTTTCCAGGTCTAATTTAGTTCTATCTCTGCAACATTGTTCAATAAAACCTGTGGAAACAGCCACGTATACTCAAAGGATTAAGACGATTCCGAGCTACTTTTTGTTGCTGTGGAAACGAGTTTTCGTACGCTGAAGCGATCGTCCATGTGAAACTCATCAATCAAACTAAGGGGTAAAAGGCAACTGGGAAGTGACTTTTTGCTCCCCTCCCTCACCCCCAAGCCTCTTCCATGACCAGACTTGAGCAAGGTGTTGTAGAAATGCATGTCATGGAAATCAGATCGTTGTTATGTTGTCATCCTAAGTATTGAATTACGATTAAAACTGATTTAACTTGTATCGCTCAGGAACTATAAAAATACCGGAATGGAACTTCTTTCCCAAAATAAATCTTACTGAAAATGGAGGAATGTTATGCACTTCATTCTCTCGAACTGGTTATATGCTAGTATATTTATTACAAGTGTTGTTGTCTAAGATTTTACCTTTAGACGTATATTAATAGAAATTCCTCGAGAATATTTTGCCATTTTGAGGAGATTTTGTTCGTTTGTTTGTTTTATTTCAAGGTTGGAGTTAATTCGTTTTCAAAACGAGACCCTCAAGCTCAAGACCCAAAGCCAAAGAAACTCACTGGACAAAGAATTACAGAATCTCAGAAAGACAGAACTGGTAAGGCTATGCAAACTGGTCAGTGCCATTACACCTCACCAGATACTGAATACATTCTTTACCGTATATTTAGTCGAAATTACAACATGCCTTAAAGGTATAATAATGCCAATAACGTTTTGTTTAGAAATAATAAAAATAAATAAATAAATATTGTCTCCTTTTAAACCTGTTGTTTGAACTTCATTGAAAGGAAAGTCTGATGACTGAGGCGAAGATTTTGAGTAAGAAACCGGAAAACGAACTGAACATGGAGAGTGTCACCGAAGAAATTAAGAACTACATAAAAAGAATCAGAAGCATGGCTATAGAGGTAACTAACTGTGCGGAAATACTGTAAACAACTCGCCTCCAAATAGATTACTACAATCTAACTAGTACTAACTTTCCATGTTCGCATTAAATGTGTTTAACAACTCTTGAGCCGTCTACAGAACGGCTGAAGACATCTTGGTCTAAGTGTTAATTTTATTTTTTGCAAGACAAACTTTGTCAGAATTATTATTTAATTAATGTTAATGTTAATTATAAACATCATCTAAAAACATGAAGTCTATCAGGTCGAGTAGCCGAGTTAGCGTCGTATCACCAATTTGTGCAAAAAGTAGAAAGCCATTGGAGGAGATTTAACACAATCCCAAGGCTTTGAGCATTTAAATTTTTGGAGATAACTAAACTCACTGAAAAAATCATTATTGTCAAGATTTACCACCGGAGCATTCATACTCTGCTTAGGTTTCTCATGGCTTTATCATTCCACTATTGCGTGATTTTACCATATTAGGTCGAGAGAACGCACAAAATATGAGCCCGTCATTCGCGTGCGCCTTATGCGATCGGTACGATTTTCGGATGGTGCAAGATGTATTTCAAAACCTAGAAACCGAAATACTAGAAAATGACATATTAGTGGAATAAAAATATCCCTTATTCGATGGTTTAATTACTTATTTGTATTAACATTAATAAATAGAAGACGAGCTATTTTAATAATGCATCAGTACTAATTAATTTTAGTAGAATTCTACAAGTATACTAATGCAAATGTCGTAATCTGATTGGCTGAGCCATTGAACACTATCAGCCATTAGTGTGCAGTGGCTCGAAGTCGTCTACGAAATGGCGACATTTTTTTCGTTTTTCCAAGGTTTTGGAGGAAAATTTTGATCCAAATGGATAATTAAATTCCTGAGAAGTCAAAATGAAGGACATTTTCGGTGTCTTGACATTTAAAAATGTTGAAATTATTTAAAAAAGTGATCCGCGCTCGCACAAAACTTCAACTTTTAATGACAATTCAATCCGAGCGACCTTTTTCAAGCGCAAAGTTTAATAATACGTCATGAAATAATTGGAAACCGTCATTTGAAGTAGATTTTAGTAAGAATTCTACTAAAACAATTAGATTATTGGCTCTCGATTTCTATGAGGTGATAGTTGATGAGGCCGAAGGCTTCATCAACTATCACCTCATAGAAATCTCGAGCTCATAATCTAATTGTTAAATAGTGTAAATGTACTAGCGTTCTATCACGATTGCGGTTCTCTGATTGACTACGCTACTCACTATCTATTCTGTGATAGATAGTGAGTAGCGTAGCAGTGAGCCCTTGTTAACAAAATGACGGCCGCTTCTTGGCGTTTTCGAAGTGTCTGTGAAGAGGATGTAGATAAAGTTTTTAACGACTATTAATGGCTGCGCCCTCGTCAACTATCACGTGGTAGAAATCGACAGCGAATAATCTTTTTGTTTAATAGTAATTAGAATTAGCAGAAGACCAATTATTTATTCCCGATAAGCCAGGAAAAGCGAAGATTTCTGATTGCTGAAACTGAGAGAAATAAACGTGCAATTTGCAAATATTTCCTTGAATCTTTGACTTTCTTGCATAGTGTAATCATGGACTACACTGAAACGTTTATTGTCGTTCCACCGTGGCTGATTAGAAAAACGTTTTACGTGATAGTTAATGCGATAGCTCGCCTAACCCGTGTGAATGTAAAGGAAAGTAGTATTAGCCGTTGGTCTTAGTTATAGAGCTCTATTCCAGTATCTCGATTTGCTTTTCCAAAATAGTATACCTCATAACTATTTAATTTGTTCTAGCCTCAGCTGAGCATGCCTGACATTATACTTTGGATGATCAGTGATAAAAAGCGAGTGGCTTACTGTAGGATCCCAGCACATCACGTTCTGTTCTCAGAGAATGAGGCAGCTTGTGGTAAATTCTGTGGAAAAACCATTGAGTTTCGCTTAAAGGTCAGTAACAATGATGTCATATTATTGACACTGAGTACTACAACTAGCAATATATAGCCCCTATCGCTCTCGTTGCAGATTTATGTTGTGAAACATTTCTTTTCATCAGCCGAACACCTTTTTCGTGTCACGAAAAAGTCCTAAAATTTCCATGACAATATCTTCAAGGGAGAAAGCAAAACAAGATAATATTATCATTAATGTTCAAACCAAACTGAGATTGCGAGAGAAATCCATTTAGACAGATAGTGAGAGAAATGTTCCCCTATTACTTTTCATGCATAATTAAATATACTTGTGATATTGAAACTGAAATTCTACTTAATATTTTTTTTCGCAAGAAACGTAATAATTTAATATTCCCAACATTTTAGTACCCTGGACGAGACGCTGAGGAAACCTATCATGAAATTCCTGCGTTAGTTCGCTTGGAGTTGTGGTTAGGCCTAGCAACACAACAACAACACTGGATTAACAGAGAGAGTGGAGAGTTCAACGTGTACGCAGAAACGGTATGGGTCTTTGTTCTGGCAATTTCTACATGAACAAAATAACACATTTTAGAGGAAGTTTGAGGAAGGGGCCTCTGTTATTTTACCATTGTAAAAATTTAGTCGCAAGATTTCTGTGCATACAGCCTCAGCAAGGCGTTTTTTAACAATAGCATAGAGGTTTTGGTCAAATTTGAGGTATTCACAAATAGAATATTTCTTTTTTAATTAAGTGTAACGAATTGTATCATGTGATGAGATTAAACCGCAAAACCAAATTAAACCCTTTCTTTCTATTTTAACAGTAAATACGTTATTTCTGGCTCGGAATAACGTAAAAAAAATCATTTCGAAAAATTCTGCCCTAATTCGGTAATGCAATCTTTCAATTTATCCCTCCTATACTTTAATCCAATTTGTACTAATGTAAAAAAAAAAGTTGCTGTTCATTTCTTATTATACAAGCAATGAATTTGACAAAGATACCCTTTTGTAATTTTTTAGGAGATACCAAGATTGGCACATTGACTTTTGATGTTTTTTCTTTCAACTTTTAGTATGAAAATGACATGAGAAAAGAATCTGCTTGGAGTCCATCTACAAGTCGAACCTGGCCTCACTACTCTGATGTATCTGGCAGTGTACGTAAAATCTATTCAATTTTTTAAACGTTTTGAAGACCTGACGTCTTATAAAGGTCAATACTTTGCTATATCATCTGCTGATTTTCTAACGATGTTATTGTTTGTTTTATTTGTTTTTTGTTTTTTGTATTTTTGCTAATTGCTGCTATTTTAGTTTCTCTGTTTTTGTTTTTGTTCTTAATTCTATTTGTCGTCATAGTATGGGAGATGTTATTGTTTTGGTACTAGGTACTAGGAACATTGTTTTTGTTGTTTGTTCCATTGTTAATTTTCTTAAAAGGTATCAAGCCATTTATGGAAGACCTTGCGAGAGCTTTAAAGCGTACATCACTTTTTCGCTGCTAAGGCTTCCCTTGCAAAAGTCATTACAAAACCAGTCATATTTTACAGTCGTTAGAAAACTAGTCATATTTTAGGTTGAGTTATTTTGTTTTCTATAACAGTTGGAGCTGCCAAAGGATTCTTTCACTGAACCAGAAGGATGGAAATTCTCTGGGGACTGGAGGAATTCTAAAGGAGATTTAACGTAACATGAAATTTCTTTTCTACATTTTCCCTCAATTTTTGTTTGCCGAGTTCTGAAATTTGGGACTTGCAGGCTCCTTCTTTTCACCTTTGTTAACGAAGCTTTTAAATTTGCTTGGAACTTGTAGGTTATTTAGCCGCCCTCTTAACATTTTTAGGCCAAAACTAGTAGATAGGAAATTATCATTTTAAAAATTGCTTTGACTTGACAATGATTTCTTTAGTTCAAACATATTTTTTTTTTTATAAAGCGTTATACAAAGGCATCTTTCTCTTTTCTTATTTCGAGATAAATCCACCTTTAAACTTTCAATTTGCAGTTGCAATTACGTTTGAATAGCAACGTGAAATACGTGCAGGATTACGTATAATTCTTGTATCTTTTAGCACGATTCGACAGCTTGAAGAAAACCTTACAGAATTCCTGGATGAGGTGTACGAACATGAAGCGAGAAATTTTCCTGGTCGGGACTGGACACCAGACAATCCAAGATATGTGGATTCGGTTAGAAAAACTCCTACAGAATTTTTTCCGCCTTTGCAATTGCGGTCTTGTTTTAGATTTGTTGTGATCTGATATGTATTAGTCCATGACAGGAGAGGTAGGAGAGGTATTTTTATTTCTTTTGAAACCATAAAAGTAGGCCATCACCTTCAGGCTCGACAAAGTCCTTTCCTGGTCTATGTATTTATTAAAAAAAAGGCCAGGTCGAACTTAAGCATTNCCCCCCACACACACACACACACACACACATAAGTGTTATTCCTAAGGCAATCCCTCTCAAACTATTTTCACCCAGTTCTCCAGCTGATAATCATCCACACGCGTTGGTTGGATATTTTCGTGTCCATATTACCAAGTCACAGGACTGAATAGTTCTAGAACGCCTGAAACCAGGGGTGATGTAAAAACAACTTATATTTACAGGGGCTCCATAAGGATAAGGTCTGTTTTGGGGATTACCTCTTTAGTTATATACCCTTCATCTTCTCTTGATTAGTCCTGTCAAGAAATTTCGAATATTTTTATTTCTTTTGAAACCATAAAAGTAGGCCATCACCTTCAGGCTCGACAAAGTCCTTTCCTGGTCTATGTATTTATTAAAAAAAAGGCCAGGTCGAACTTAAGCATTTAGTGTGCTTTAGTGCTTCGTGTTAGCTGGAGAGAAAATGCATTATCTTGGTTCTTTTTTCCATTAAATTAATAGAAAGTACGGAACAGTTTTGATCCTTAGCAACCACATATCACCGCAAAATTTTTTTTCCTGTTGTAGCATGGAGAAGAGACAACCCTAACTCCTGACCCACCGACAGGCTGGATAAAGACGACTGACTGGTCAGTTGACCTGAACTGCGCTGTGGATGATGAAGGTCAGTATTTCTAACATGTGTCAAAAAGAAAGCTATGATTACAGATTGTTCAGTAAAATCCGAGCAAAGAACGAATATAAAAAATCTCCAAGGTCTCCCTTGGCCCCTTGGAGTTTCAATGGGAACTTAAATACATTGATTCGAGGTTTTCAAAACGCGCAGCAACGCCTCCTTTCTTCATGGGTTTCTTGCGCTTCCCAAGCTGTTGCTTGGGGTGGGACAGAGCCTCGGACAGCGACTTGAGAAGGGTGAAATGGCGCTGCACGAAGAAGCCATTTCCTACAAATGTCTGAAACAAACAAACTGCGTTCGAAGTTAGACGCTCTTCTTAGGGCTCGTCGCGAGCCCAAAGAGCGAAGCGATTTCATCCTCGTTCAAAGTATGCATCAAAACATTTCACGTACGACTTACTAACATGACCTAAAGCCGGTCGTTTTCGAAACAATTTAGGTTTCCAGTCAATAAAGCAGACTAGCCTAGACTATCTACGGTTCGTAGTACTATTGTATTAAGTTTTTTTTAAACGTTATTATTTAAATAAAGTGTGCAAAGTGCGTGTGTACCAACAGATCATAAACAGTGTATGAAACACAGATCATTGTTTTTTCTTAACAGCAAGCAAGAAACTGGAATGAGCGCACTCATGTTACATAATATTACGTGTCCGCACTACCCACTTTACTTTTTTTAATTTTTAAATTTTTTTTACTTCCCCCGCCTTCTCGTCCTCGTCCTTCTTTTGACAACAACGTGAGCTTTTGGAGAAACGTCGTATGACGACATAAAAAAACAAAAAAACAAAAAAACCGTGAAACAAAAACACAAAAATCCATTTTTTTAAAATTTCCCTTACGACTGAAAAGTTTCTTCCTCTTGACTTCGCATAAGTTAATCTATTCAATTCTAGCTCAAAACGGCCAAGCGTTGCGTCCTTACTATTTGCTTGATGTTATTTCTTTCGAAGGTTGGCAATACTCGAAACACCGCTCCTATTACGAATACGGTCCTGAAGAAAAAGCGTTTGACATGAGCAGAAGGAGAAGGCTGATAAGGCCCAGACGACGCGATTTAAAAGCTTCTGTTAAACAGGTCAGAGGAACATCTTCTATTTTCAGTGGTAAATTAAGGGGTAAAGAAGTAGGTGAAAGATTATAGGTTGGTTATGAACTTGAACTTAAACTTAAACTTATGAATTTCAGCGAATTACTGCGTGTGGTGTGCTTTTAACCTACAGCTATTGTCTGTATTTCTTGTCTCTGTTATCAAATTAGTGTAAATAAAGATTTGCTTTGATTTGATTTGGAAAGGAATGGAATCAATGTCACTATATCCTTAACCCGTTAATAAAGAATAATGAATGGGAGAGTATAACTAATTTACCAGCCGGTTTCCCCAGTTGATCAACTCAACCTGCATATCTGCAGGCTCTTTCGTTGTCTATATGGAAGGAGCAGGTGAGGAAGGTAGCATTATTAGACATAATTCCCACGCGCTGCATTCACGGTGTTAATCAACTGGCCTGTCGAATACGTATAGCAACTTTTCATAAAGCACAATGCAGTACGAGGGCGTGGCGTTTTATCCATCTATGCGTCTGCCTTATGCCCGTCAGTTCAGACTCTGAATTTCTGAAGTGTGTCTGCAGTTATAGGTGTACGTAAAATTGATACTATTTTACAGTCTTTAATCTGGATGTTATTAGAGTTTTTGCTGCTGTTGTTGTTATTATTATTGTTTTTTTTTTATGTTGTTACTGTTGTTGTTGTTGTTGTTGTTGTTGTTGTTGTCGTTGTTGGGGTTGTTGCTGTTAAACTAGCCCTAGTATACTGTAATGTCGCTCGTTGGCCTAAAATCGAACAGAATGTTTATCTCTTTTTTTTTTTTAAGTGTGACAACACTCACTACCATTGCATACACCTCATTATGTGTGAATCTAAAGCTTCTGCATAATACATTAGGTTCACGATGATCCGAAGCCAACTGACGGATGGGAATATGCTCGATCTTTCCACGACAGTTTTCACCCAGACGAAAGAAGAACGGATTGTTTAAGGCGAAGAAGGTGGCTTCACAAAATCGTACCTGAAACTGCTAAGAAAGGAGGCAGTATCAAATTTCCTGTTTTTAAGGTATTGGTTCAAGGGCTGGTGAGTTCACAATTTTCAGGGAAGACCATATTGAGCAAAATGTAGTGATCTCTTAGTGATCTGGTATGACGAGCAGATCATTTATGATCTGCCATATATTGACAGTCAGGTGACTCTATTTTGCTTGCATTTAACGCAAGTGACTCATTATCGATGGCAGGAAAAGTTTGAAAAGATCTATACATAAGAAGATTTTCGCGCGAACGTCCTTAAGTGCTAGGTTCGTTTAAAGTCACCCATCACCTAACCGGAAAGAATAAATGTATTCTAAAGAATAAAAAAGTTCCGTGTGCAGTTTTTCAGCAAACAAGAGGTGTACGAAGGTAATTTAAGACTACTTTAACTTCGCGATACACTGTAATGTACATATACAACAAGGCACTACGTTTGTTATAAAGTCGAAAAATGGAATTATAAAAAGGAAACTTCTGCTTCATCTTCTATGTTGGGGTTTTATTAAAAGTTTGGTTTTAGCGCTAGCCACAGCTTTATTTCTTTTTTTTCGTTTTCTTTCTTTCTTTTCGTTTTCTTTCTTTCTTTTTTTTTTTCTAGTTAGGAAAGGAGAGTGCTCTTTGTGTTATTCCAAGGATGCTCGTGACCTATCAAAGTAGGTTGAAAGGAAAGTTATTCACTTACGTCACGGAAAAACGTTATTTTCAAACTAGCAAGAGTAATCTGGGCACCAAACACTGATTGACCAGTTTTGCTCTTTATTCAGAAAAAAATAAAGAACTAAATAATATAAAAGCTATTTTATGATCGTAAGTCCATTAACTTTTCTCCATTGGTTGTCTTTTATAATACAAAACAAATACAGCACACTAAAAGCCTTCTTCTACAACTTTTTTTCCCTTTTGTGAAATCAATCAAATTATGAGTTAACTTTGCTAGAAAGTTTTAATTTCTATTGTACTAGGAGCTATCAAATGTCAGCTGTGGGTCTCTATTTATCAAGCTCGTGGTCTTATAGCTCAGGATGATAGCGGCATGAATGGTAAGTAAATACAAACAGTACTAAGGACAACTGCTTCAGCTGGAGTCAATACTGATAGGTAAATATTAGCTCATAATCCAGTACCCAGATGTGTTTGGTTAACCCGAATATTTTTCAAACGCCAATCTTCAACTCCTCAAACTCCATTCCTTTCTTCCCTCCTACATCTCTTTTAGAAATTCATAGTTGTTAAATATTTCCCTTTCCCCTTCGTATCAGCCCTTTCAACCCTAAATTTCTCCAATTTAAATCAAGACCCCCATACCCATGTATGATATGCCATTGAAATCCATTGATTTGTGTATTCCAAGAATCCCATCAACAACCACTAAGGAAGTGATAGCCTTGACAAACGATGGCTTGAAAGGAGAGAATGAAAAAGTTAAAAATAGTCAAAATCTTTATAAATATTAGGTATACCCCAGTACTATTTCTTATTTTACATCTTCAATGAATAGGTTAATAACAAATACACAAGAGGCCGCATTATTAGTATAGAAAAAATCCCAAAACTTCCAGGGTGGTGAACTACATCATGTATAGGGAGAAGGGTCGCAATTTTATGCTTTCAACTGATTAGATCTTTACAAGATTATTTTACTGCAAAATGTCATCAAAATCGGCCAGATTTGATTCAAACGGTGACGTCACATGCACATAAGAGTGCTCCCGTTGTGAAAGGGTTAAGCCCCTACTCATTTCCAAAGATTGCCTTACAACTTACTTGTATCATTGTTCCTTTAAACATATATCTAACACAACAACACAACAGTTGTTTTTGTACTGATACACCAACCGCTTGTTCCAGATCCCTACGTTCGAGTTACGTTCAGCTATCAAAGTCAGGTCACAGAAACTCTGACTCAGACTCTCTGTCCAACCTGGGACCAAACGCTTATTTTCAAAGAGATCGATATTTTTGACGACCCCAGAGACCTGGTAGAGAATCCTCCGAGTGTAGTAATGGAAGTATTTGACTACGATAAGGTTTGTAAGTTTTGTTTTGCGTAAGAAGTTTCAATTGAGAATTAGTAGATTTATCGTATCTATAGCAAAATTCTACTAATCGTGATTGGCTCTCCACGCGCCTATTTGTTACGTAATCGGCACGCGATCACGTAGGTGTCCAATTACAGGTATCCAATTCGAACTTTTCGTAATTGGACACTTGTAATTGGATGCCCACGTGATTCGCACGTCAATTACTCGCGCTTCAGTGGCTTCCTTTGCATTATTTCCTAGTGTTTTCAAAACTTTTGAAAAGCGTTACAGACGTTTTCACTCAAAAAAAGTTCTCAAAAGACTTTTTTAATTTCCGAAATTTGTTATAGATACGATTAATTAGTAATTGGACCTCGTGTCAAACAATTCAGGGAGTAATCGTGCTCGTAATTTCGCGATTATTCCCTGAATTGTACTCCACTCGGTCTAATTACTATTACTAATATCGGCAAGTCATTCAGAAAGGGGATCCGTCGTTAATTAAAGATCGTTGGAGATTGTAGGTTTCAAGTAGGTATTTCTAGCTGATTCGTCTTGGTACTTTCCTGAAAAAAAAATGAACATTTAGAGGCTTTCGGGTGATTATGGAAAGTCAAATAACGTTATCTATCTTGGTGAGAATACCTCCTCTTCCTGTCTCGTGAAGCATGGATAGTAGCACGATGCATTTTGCAAATTTACGTCCGTTTTTAAAGAAACTTGCCTGCTGTTATTTGTAACGAATTTCGTCGAAGCATTGCCAAAATAGCTGTGGATCCACAGACTGTGTTTCTGTACTCTACTTTTGATGTCTGAAACTGATTAGCCAATAAGGGTGCGAGAAATTTGACAGTTAACATAACATAGCGATTCCTATTATTTATTCGTTAAATCACTCATGTGCCAAAGTGAAGAAGTGATAAGGGCAAGTTAGGCAAGTAATTAGTTTTCCTCTACGCATTCCTCTAGTCGGTGATGACTTGTTTCGAGTGGTTCTTATGTTTCTAAGATTTAGCTTTGGAAACTAAATCCATAACCTGAAGTGATCTTTATTTTCAGGCTGTGCATGATATCTTGGGGCGATGTATTTTCAAACCTAAAGTCCGGATTGAGGGGAGTAACGGACCTCCTTTCCCAAAACTTGCGTGGCGCAAGCTGCGCCGAGCTCACCAAGATGCCGGTCAGATTCTGGTCGAATGTGAACTATTTCTGGTAAGAGGACTTACTAAATCTTCCTTCTTTTAGACTGTTCACATACTGTATTCAGAGTCCCCTACTTTGCAGTGCTTTTCTTGAAATCAGATCGTTCAAACAATACCGCGATTCACATTGCGAGCGCCAATCTGAAGAGATTACCAACCTTATCCTTATCCTGGAAAAGAGCTGGAGGGCGTCAGGATGTAAAGCGGGGTAGTATTCACGGATTGCACTCACCATATGAAACCAAGATGGCTGGCATTTGAAGTGTTTGGAAGGCCTCGGCGAACACAGTGCCGCTACTTTTGTTTTACATGACGAGTGCCAATCAGAAGAGATTACCAACCCAAGCGTGGGCCGGAAAGAGGTGGAGGGTGTCAGGATATGTAATGGGGTAGTATTTCCAGATTGCGCTCGCCATATGAAACCAAGATGGCTGTCATTTAAAGTGTTTACAAGATCTCGACGAACAAACCAAAAATACAGACTGTAAACAGAGTACTTTCCTTTCCTACAAGACGAAAATATCTACGTCAATTTTAATATCAACGTTGTTATACTGCCAACGTGGGTCGTCGAAATACTTTCAGGGCTATAGTTCCTCAATATTTCATGAACATTTTGAGTCGCGTAGAGAGAGAACATTTTACTACTCGCTTGAAGAAACATGTCTTTGAAAGTCGCTCTATCGCTGTCGTCAAAACTGCAACTCTAGCTTCAAGGCCTTGTCTAGGGATTGCCGCACTAAAAGGTGATACACAAATGAAGCATGACTTATCTCTTTTTGATTTATTATCTTTTATAAAATATTCATGTTAAACTCTTACTCGTGGGAGGTCCCATATGCAAACGGCAAGACCAAAAGTAGTATTTCCTCTTTTATTTACGTTTATACTATGAATGAACGAAGTGTGTATGATTATTAGATAAAATAAAGAACAATTGGTTTTGCCTTGAAATAAATTTTCTGCTACTTTCAAGGATTTTAAATGTTCTCTTCAAATATTACTCAGGAAAGCACAATACTTACTTACTTACAGTACAATATGATCGTTAAGACTACATTACATTGTTCTTCACATAGCTATAACAAAACAGTTGGAAAATGTCCAGTGTTTTTTTTTTTTTTGCTTTAAAGTTTCAAACAAAAGGCAGCACTACTAACGCTGCCTTTGTTATATATGTACAGTATGAGCATTATATTACTAACCAAAAAAACAAAACAAAACAAAAAAAAACACTACTTTAATAGTTAACAAAACAAAGGAAACACGTCATCAGTGCATGTTAAATAATATATTGACAGGATTTTTGGAAAGCAGTAAGAGACTTGTTTTTAAATGCAATTTCTTTTTGTATTTTGATTTTTTTTTAGAAGTATGAGAAAATTGTCGAAAGAGAGCTTTTCGTCGTGCGGGCAGCTGCAGTATATAGAAAATTTCGCAATTAGAAGCATATAGTTCAAAGAGTAACTATGTTCCGTTTTGTCAAAAACACCGTATTAAATCATACTATTTGATAATGCTAGTTGCTGCTTCGTTTTATTTGTACACCAGTTTTGAAAGGTCTTCCAAAAGGCTATAACGGAAGAGCATCGTAAGAAAATATGATCTAGGGAGTGTGTATCAGCCAAGCATTGAGGACATACATCGTTGTCAGACATTTTGGCTCTAAAAAGAGACATTTTAGTTCCGAGAATGTTGTGTATTATCTTATATTGAAACATTGTTATTTTAATGTCACACTTAATCTGGAAAGGTAATTCGTACACTTTTTGGACGGTTTCCGGGGTGAAACCAAAATTTTAAGATTTTAGTTTCAGCAGTACGTGCTACGAAGAATTTCTTCAACAGCAAGTTGTACACATATTTGGTGAAAATGATTTCTTCTTTTTCCTCACTTTCTGGATATCGCGAAGGAGGATTTTCAGATACTAACCTCCAAGAATTTGAGATAGCATTAATAAGACCGAAGTAGAGGGTGAAAGGCGTTTTGAGCTTAAACTTATAACAAAAGTTTTTAAAGGACAGGAATTTACCGTGCTCTTGAAGGAGATCCTGGATTCGTATTATATTTTGGTCAAACCAACTTTTCTAGAATACAGGTTTACCATTTATTAAAATTTTTCGATTATTGCAAATTACTTCTTCATAAGTGAGGGAAGTCTCACTTCTTATGGAATCTTTAGTTGTTTCCCATTCTTTTAGTACGTCAACATAAAAAGGTGGTAAATTGCCGACCTGTAGTGTGTTAATGTCATAGTTACAATTTGTCAAGAAGTGTAATCCACCATATTTCTCTAGGGCTGCGTTAGGGATGATTTTCCAGGATGCTACGTTTTCGGATTTTATGCGTGGTATCCATGCGACTTTTAATGCTTTATTCAAGATATTAAAGTGAGTCATTTTAAGTCCTCCATGTTTTCTCTCGTAAAGCATTAACTTCTTATCTTAACACACCGCAGATCGAAGGGTCACAGCTACCTGCTCTGCCCAAGCCTCGTGGTAGAGTGTACCCAGTTCGTCCTAAAGTGGCTCCTGAAAAGCAAAGAAAAGCTATCGAGGTAAAGATAACACCAATTCTTGCTATTTCACCACGCTGAATGTTGTCAGGATGCGCTAGTAATATACTGATATCCGTTTTACTATTTTTATAATTCGTCTTTGAACTGCTCACAGTTTTCCTCACAGTTTTCCTCGAGCTGTGCTCTCGTAAAATTGCTCGCTTCTCGGAACAGATAATCTACGCAGACATATATCTGAGCATCATTTTCGCGCCAAATGGAGGCTATTGTTTATATACTTCTGAGTGGAGGGTGGCACTGTGAGAGTGAAGTGTCTTGCCCGACTGCATTACATAATGACCCCAGTGAGCCCTCAGAGTCTGACCGTTTAGAGTTCAACATCTTAACCGTTACGTTGCATCTTTAATTGTTCGTACGGAGTTAATATTGATGCAATCAAGGTACTTTAACAGATGAGATGAAAGCAAACTGTTTTATCAGCAAATCAACAGGACCAATTCATGGCTTAACTAGTCCAGCTACACTATTACACCTCGCTTGGCATTATGTAGTGTTTGGGGATGCTATTTGGTAAAAGAAAAATAATAATTAATCAAGCACTGTCTGTTTGCAAAAAAAAAAAAATTGCATACAATACTATTTATTCTAACAATATATTAAACTCACTAGTATAGTAAAAGCCACCTAAACCCAACCGACATTGCACAGACAGCCCAACATTTCGCCTACAGGGAATAATCGATGCACCTGCCGCCAGTTCGGATTCGCGTCACCTTGCAATTTAGTTTAGTGCATTAAAGGCAAAATGTCTGACAATATCTTTCTTCTTCTCAAATTCAGGTCCTTAGCTGGGGAGTGAGAAATTTGAAAGGCAATAACCTACTGTTTTGTCCAAATATAAGAGTCGAATTTGAGTGCAACCAAACAATTTTGAAATCTGATGAAGTTATCAAAGATATGGCGAGGTGTCCAAACTTTTCCCGTCCTATTCTGGAACGAAAAATCTTGGTAAGTTACACACGAGGAAAGCACGAAATATGTTACAAACCTCGCTCCATTTAATATGGCTGCATACACCTTTAGACATGTTACATTAAGGCTTATATAGAGGCGGTGAGGCCGAGTGGTTAGGGTGCCGGAATTCAGCTTCAAATCCGGAGGTCGCGGGTCTGACCGTACCACTTAGCTGGAGTTGTTTCTCGGCAGACCCTAGCCAACTGGTCTGCCTCCCCGCCGCCAGATGGAATCTTAAACCCTATTATGTTTAGTTGATATAGTTGTTTCTCTAAGTTTAAGTGACATGCCTGTGAAATAGCTAGGTGTAGCTAAGAGTATTGACCACTATAAACAACGGCATTTGACCATTTTTGTTTTACATTCACTTGACAACAGATGAGAGAAAAGCGAACCAGCCACCGTTTACTGAGTTAATGACTTATGAATTAAATAACAATGAATTCATAGCCTTTCTATACTCTTTAACTATCTAGTTCGTTTTATCTCCTTCAGGAACTGCCAGCAAATGACGAGTATGCGCCACCGATCAACATCCGGGTATTCGACTCCATGTTTGGCAAGTCTCCTGTTGGTCTTCATGAAATTCAGTCTCTAAAGGAGTTTGAAGTTCATGGAGCAGAAAGTCAGTCGCATGGTGAGAACAGTATACGTTGAAAGAGTTGAAGCTTAACATTTCTTCCTTTTTCATGTTGAATTTAAAAAGAAAACAAAAAACTATGCTTATTTTGCCGGTGTCTATTTCTAACTGTCTTTGTTCAAGCTGATGAGATTGAAAGGTTATCAGCAGTAGGGAAAGGAAAGACGCCAGCGAAATATGAACAGGAAACAGCAGCATTTGAGGTAATTGTAACGAAACAGCTGCATTTCAAAGAAAGAAACTAGACTTAACTCTAGTTGAAAACAAAATAACAATTTGGAGCAAAGTTTGAATGTTGTGTGTGAAGACACAGGCCGAGAGAATGTAAGATTCGTTCTTGTAGGTACGGCAGCATATTTTGTTTCTTAGCGAAGATGCATGACAGCAAGCGTGTGGCGGTAAGCTGACAATGGCGAAATAAAAAAAAATGATTATTTCTAAATGACGTATAAAATATATGCTACATAAAATGATACTCGGGCAGGGATTTGCCGAGTTTTTCTTGTTCAACGGATGAACACTTTGTGCACCCACTGATTTTTGATTTGTTCTTTGTTTCCTCATGTAAGACTCAGGAAGTGTTCGACTGGTGGTCCAAGTACGACGCGTCTCGGGTTGAAGAGGCAAAGACAACAGAAGACAAGGTAGTGAAACGTACTGTGATTATTAAATGATGGCCTAAACTCCATAAATTAATGTTATCTTGATTTCATACATACCATTGCGCTTAACAATGTAACTTATTTATCTATAACAGGAAAGAGTGCTGTCTTCAAGAGACAAAAGAAAGCATAAAGATCCTATGACACACGTTGAAAAATATTTGGCAAGAGGATATGACACGCTTCAAGTAGGTTCTTTTTGAAGTTTTGCTTGATCTGCTTAATGAAAACTTTCTTCGTTCATGGCTGTTTGCAGTTGCCAAATATTTTTTACTAGAAGTGCTACAGTAGAAGTGCCCTCTTGTTCTGCTTCTAAGTAACTATTAAATAGATACCTTTTCTTCGTTGGACCAAAACCTGATTGGGACTTGTCCACCTTCACCAGTGAACAGTGCTTTACAAAACACTTTGGCGCCATGAAAACTTGGAAAGAGAATTCAAACAGTTCTACTTAATATATTTTAGATCTACCATTGTAAACTGGAAGATGTGCCAAGATTCAATGGTTTCAACGACTTCGTGACAACTTTCCCCCTCCGAAAAGGGAAGACCAAGTCAAATAAGAACAGCGAAATTGAAGTTGGACAATTTAAGGTAACTTTTTTGTATGTTATTCGAGATTTGCTTTATATCATGTAATTTTAAATTTGAACTTATTGTAACTGAACTTGTCTGCAGCTATAAATTTCAATGCTCCAGTGTTTTTTCTATTTTTTTTTTTATTCCAGGGTGCATTTCGTATATTTAACGACCCTGATTCCCGTGACAACACCATGGCAACAATGCACTTAAGGTCCAGTGAGCCAATTGACTGTGTTGTGCGAGTGTACGTTATTCGTGTAAGTAAAAATTGCTATAGCTCTGCTTATTGAAATCCTTACTTCCGATCGCTAAGAAATATGATCACAGCTCATTGCGTATATAGATATCAGCTCTATCTGAATTACAGCTCTTTTATTTTCTTCCTCCGTCGAGGGAGTGGCGACAGGTAGCGGGATCAAGCCCTTTTGTGACTGTCGTTACGTTTCTAGACTCCTCACTCCTTCTTGTTTCTGACCACCTAAATAGTCTGTAGGGTTAGGTTTAGGGTTAGGGTTAGGATTAGGATTAGGGTTAGTAACGAGACTGGTGTGAAACGCGGTGATAATTGAAAGCATAAGCCCCAGGTTGGAAACGTACGTCCTACTCGTAATTGATCTCGCGTATTCTAATATGAAAAGTCTCTTTTAGGGTTTAGCCGCTAAATTACCGTTTCCACGAATATTAAAGCATCCAATTGGACTTAGTACAATTCCCTTTCAGTTAATCGTCACTTTGCTGTACCGATGTGCTTTAGATGCAGAACTGAGCTTGCAACACTTAGCTTAATATCTCAAGGTTTTGAAGTTATCACTCTTCTTTCACAACATGTTGGGAAAACTAACTTTGTACACAATTGCAACTGTGTAATTGAATCTCCTATCTTTTATTGATAGGCAAATCATCTTCAGCCTAAAGATGGAGATGGTCTTGTGAGTTCATTTATATCATTCTAAGAATGTAATATGGCAACGGACTTGTATATACATTGGATACTTTTTAATTTTACAATTTTATATGTTACATGTTTAAGCTTTCGATCTCCTTACAGTCCTTACAAGATCCCGAAGGCCTTTAGTATTTATCTTTATCGTGTCAAAGGAAAGATTATCTATCCAACTATCTACGTATTTTACTCACAAGCTAGCCAGATTGGTGTCAAAGTCGTTTCCATATGCTAGGGGCTATTCCAACAAGCAAGACAATTCACTTTCATGCACGACTGAAACACCGTTTAACTTGAAAACGGTGCTACTCGAAAAAATTATCGTTAATTCGATATTGATGATGTTATACACATTTCAGGCCGATCCATACTTGATTGTCTCTCTTGGTGACACAAAATACGACAGAAAGGACGAACGCATACCCAAGACGCTTAACCCTAAATTTGGAAGGTAAACACACAACCTGACATGCAATGGTCATTAAATATCACCTGATAAACCTCTTCAGGCTTTGCTTTTGTTTATTATTATTATTATTATTATTATTATTATTATTATTATTATTATTATTATTATTATTATTATTCTGCAGTATGTTTAAGTTCAAGGCGAAGATTCCGCTGGTCAAAGATTTGAAAATTCAGGTAATGGACTATGACTATCCAGACCCAGATGATCTGATCGGTGAAACCGTTATAGACCTGGAGCAGAGACTCTTGTCTAGTTACCATGCCACTTGCGGACTTCCCAAGACATATTTCATGTAAGTATTAGTAAACTTCTACTTACATTGCTCTGTAGTCAGGGCAGTGCAGTTCTGCTTGGTTATTTGCGTCTCAGGGAGTTTCTAATGACTGTACGTCATTGACATATTTCCAATCACAATGAGCAATAGAGTTTTTCAAAGCAACCTATTTGCCTCCCTCCAGACTTAAAAGGGGCGTTTTTGGTTCTGTTAATTTATATAAACACAAAACATGCTTCTCATTAGAAACATCCCAAGGAAACGTTTTTTTTTTTTGGTGTGTTAATATAATATGAGATATTTTATCGAATGAATGATACGACTTCTAATAAGTCAAAAACGTATCGTCAAATCATTCTCCTTGCTAGATCTGGTCCTTATAAATGGCGAGACACTCTAACACCTTTTCAGCTTTTGGCTAAACACTGCACCTTTACTGGGAAAGAACTCAGGGCAGGACAGGACACAGGAAAACCAGAGATTATCAACATTGGAGAAACCACCTACTCTCTGAGTGATTTTGGTACGTTGGTTATTAAACTGTTTCTGAATTTCTTTGTTTCAGAACGTCAACGAAGTCTTCGTATATAACCTTGCCTTATTTTGCACAGCAATTGTTAATAGATACTTACTCTTCAGGACTTTGTTACAAGATTTAAAAAGACATTAAGCTGGCACCTTGAATAATCATAATCAGAATATCCAAGTTCTCCTTGCCCATAGAACCCATGGCGTTCTGAGATACTTAGCTGTTTTCATTCCTAGCACAACTACAAACCACTTTAATTTCCTGCTCAAGTCTTCGTTGTCTTCAACCGCGCAGACTTTAGTGCAAGCGTTAACTTGAGTTGAAAAAAAAAAAAGTTAGATATATAAGCTGTTCTTTAATTCTACTAGCTTAACTTAGGTCTTTCTGGCTGCCGCCAATCATTCAAAGTGTTTTTATTAATCTTCATCTTAAAAGAGAGTGAACCGCCATCCAACCCAGAGGTTGGAGATGCACTGCAGCGTCTGGCTCTTTACGTGCTTCACACGCGTGGACTGGTCCCTGAGCACGTGGAAACGAGGCCACTATTTAGTAAAGTACGGCCAAACATGGCGCAGGTATGTTAATCGTGATCCAAATTATGGAACCTTTTTTCGTGTTTTTGTAATACTTACTGCACAAGCCTGAGTAAAACTACACCTGTTTATTATACGGCTTGTGTTTGGGGCCCATATAACACCGCTCTACTTGACTAATTCTAAGGTATTATAATATCCATGGGCCGATAAAGGGCCTCCAAAGACAAAGCAAAAAGCCATATTATAAACAACACTCTAACCTTGAACGTTCGATCTTTACGGGAACATCTCGAACCTTGGCCATGATATATAGACCTCTTTAGCTTCGCGGTCACGTGGCTACATTGGGTAAACAAAACATTCAAGATGGCGGGCGCTAATGAATTTTCTGTTGTAGCGTGGACAAAATCGTTGCGAAATCTCGCTAAAGTGTCCGCGATAACAATAGTAAATCATCTAAAAGGCTGTGGAAAAAAAGAAATTGGAGAAAAAGGTTATAAATTCTTTACAGAAA